CTACAGCAAGCAGCACGGAGTTTGCAGTTTCTTTTGGTAATGCTCACAACCAAATACTTTTTTTCAGCATCCCGAAAGGATGGAAAACAACCCTTAGCATTTCATCATTTGAAGTATCACAAACTACAGCTTGAGGTAACTTCTGCTGAGCAGCTATCCATCGACTATGGGCATTGCATTAATAATTAATTATTCAGTATTCTTAGCTTGTATACATCAAGAATAAACAGAACTAACCTGGTCATCAGATTTTGCACAAGATACGCTTTCCTCCTTGGATCAAGAGTTGAGTCCCGATAAACCTTTCGAATCTCAGATTCAAGCTCATTTTCATTCATACGAAATATATCCTTCCACCCAGGCTTAAACTTCTGATCATTCTGGTCTAAGCTTTCTTGAAAATCATTACCTGGAGCAGAATGGAGTTGAAATGAGCTTTTTTTTTTCTTTTTTAAATCTCAACAGAATATGATAACTCTGTATGAAATAGGGCGCATCTTGGGATTAAAAAAACAAAAAAATATATAAACAAAAAATAAAAAACTTCTTTGCCCATAAGATGTTTGGATAAGGCACCTATCCAAGTACAAAGAACTGCAGGGCATTTGCAGTACGGAACAGAAAAATCAAGTACATACCTTGCCTGGAAATACCAGGTTCCGATGTTTCTGTCTCCAAAGATGATTCTGGCCCTTTCCAGCATTCGTTGAGCCACTCATTGAACATTGTATTTTTGGTTGCATGCTTCCATGCATCCATCATTTTGTTTTGCTCGTCCTGCGTAAGGGCAGAAGTTACCCATGGTAACATAGACTGGAGCACCTCAGCACCAGTAGTCCCAATTATACGACCCACTATCTTTTCTTGCTCCCCAACCGAAAAATGTTTGTCAAACAATGGCCACAATACATGTTCTTCTCTGAAAATATGATCATCTAAAGTGACCTTCATAGATTTGCACATCCCTTGAACCTTTGTTGCTAGCTCATTATACTTCCTCTTACAATCACCATGGAGTACACTAAAAAATTCAGTGCTACTTTCCATTAAATCCTCTGTCACACAGGTCTTTTTCAAGCCTTCATGAAGAACAGAGAGCTCCGAAAGAACATAAGAAATATCCTCAAATAATTTTTCTTCCTGCTTATGGTCCAGCATGTACGAATGACTGACATTATGAAGTGCCTCTTTTGATTCCAATGCAGGAAAAACAATATCATCCTCAGCATTGCTGTGTGCCTTGTAGAAGCCCCAGAGAAGACGAAATCTTCCAATAAATTGCCTAAGGAACATCTCATCACAATAGTTGAGCTTTCCAGATTCAACATCAAGATACTCCAAATCTTTACTTATGGCCTTATGGAACTTAAAAATCGTATCAATTGGTCGTCCTGCATACCCTACGTTAGAAAAGCTATTATCTGTTTCCCAGATAAAAAGATTGGAGTCAAGTGATGGAGCAGAGAAGCTGAAGATGAGATCGTAGAGATTTAGTA